CGCTCCCTTCTGTTTGTAAATCAATCCCATCATGGGATCAATACTCTCCTTTGTGTTTGTAAATCAATCCCATCATGGGATCAATACACTCCCTTCTGTATGTAAATCAATCCCATCACGGGATCTATACACTCCCTTCTGTATGTAAATCAATCCCATCATGGGATCAATACACTCCTTCTGTATGTAAATCAATCCCATCATGGGATCTATACACTCCCTTCTGGATGCAAATCAATCCCATCATGGGATCAATACACTCCCTTCTGGATGTAAATCAATCCCATCATGGGATCAATACACTCCCTTCTGTTTGTAAATCAATCCCATCATGGGATCAATACACTCCTTTCTGTTTGTAAATCAATCCCATCACGGGATCTATACACTCCCTTCTGGATGTAAATCAATCCCATCATGGGATCAATACACTCCCTTCTGTTTGTAAATCAATCTCATCATGGGATCAATACACTCCCTTCTGTTTGTAAATCAATCCCATCACGGGATTTATACGCTCCCTTCTGGATGTAAATCAATCCCATCATGGGATCAATACACTCCCTTCTGTTTGTAAATCAATCCCATCATGGGATCAATACGCTCCCTTCTGGATGTAAATCAATCCCATCATGGGATCAATACACTCCCTTCTGAATGTAAATCAATCCCATCATGGGATCAATACACTCCCTTCTGTTTGTAAATCAATCCCATCATGGGATCAATACACTCCCTTCTGTTTGTAAATCAATCCCATCATGGGATCAATACGCTCCCTTCTGTTTGTAAATCAATCCCATCATGGGATCAATACACTCCCTTCTGTTTGTAAATCAATCCCATCATGGGATCAATACTCTCCCTTCTGTATGTAAATCAATCCCATGATGGGATCAATACCCTCCCTTCTGGATGTAAATCAATCCCATCATGGGATCAATACACTCCCTTCTGTTTGTAAATCAATCCCATCATGGGATCAATACACTCCCTTCTGTAAGTAAATCAATCCCATCATGGGATCAATACACTCCCTTCTGTTTGTAAATCAATCTCATCATGGGATCAATACCCTCCCTTCTGTTTGTAAATCAATCCCATCACGGGATCTATACACTCCCTTCTGGATGTAAATCAATCCCATCATGGGATCAATACACTCCCTTCTGTTTGTAAATAAATCCCATCATGGGATCAATACACTCCCTTCTGTATGTAAATCAATCCCATCATGGGATCAATACGCTCCTTCTGTTTGTAAATCAATCCCATCACGGGATCAATACACTCCTTCTGTTTGTAAATCAATCCCATCATGGGATCAATACACTCCTTCTGTTTGTAAATCAATCCCATCATGGGATCAATACACTCCTTCTGTTTGTAAATCAATCCCATCATGGGATCAATACACTCCCTTCTGTATGTAAATCAATCCCATCACGGGATCAATGCCCTCCTTCTGGATGTAAATCAATCCCATCATGGGATCAATACATTCCCTTCTGTTTGTAAATCAATCCCATCATGGGATCAATACACTCCCTTCTGTAGTAGATCAATCCCATCATGGGATCAATACACTCCTTCTGTTTGTAAATCAATCTCATCATGGGATCAATACCCTCCTTCTGTTTGTAAATCAATCCCATCACGGGATCTATACACTCCCTTCTGGATGTAAATCAATCCCATCATGGGATCAATACACTCCCTTCTGTTTGTAAATAAATCCCATCATGGGATCAATACACTCCCTTCTGTATGTAAATCAATCCCATCATGGGATCAATACGCTCCCTTCTGGATGTAAATCAATCCCATCATGGGATCAAGACACTCCCTTCTGTATGTAAATCAATCTCATGATGGGATCAATACACTCCCTTCTGTATGTAAATCAATCCCATCATGGGATCAATACGCTCCCTTCTGTTTGTAAATCAATCTCATCATGGGATCAATACACTCCCTTCTGTTTGTAAATCAATCCCATCATGGGATCAATACGCTCCCTTCTGGATGTAAATCAATCCCATCATGGGATCAATACACTCCCTTCTGTATGTAAATCAATCTCATCATGGGATCAATACACTCCTTCTGTATGTAAATCAATCTCATCATGGGATCAATACACTCCCTTCTGGATGTAAATCAATCCCATCATGGGATCAATACACTCCCTTCTGTTTGTAAATCAATCCCATCATGGGATCAATACACTCCCTTCTGTATGTAAATCAATCCCATCATGGGATCAATACACTCCCTTCTGGATGTAAATCAATCCCATCATGGGATCAATACCCTCCCTTCTGTATGTAAATCAATCTCATCATGGGATCAATACACTCCCTTCTGTATGTAAATCAATCTCATCATGGGATCAATACACTCCCTTCTGGATGTAAATCAATCCCATCATGGGATCAATACACTCCCTTCTGGATGTAAATCAATCCCATCATGGGATCAATACGCTCCTTCTGCATGTAAATCAATCCCATCATGGGATCAATACACTCCCTTCTGTATGTAAATCAATCCCATCATGGGATCAATACGCTCCCTTCTGGATATAAATCAATCCCATCATGGGATCAATACACTCCCTTCTGTATGTAAATCAATCTCATCATGGGATCAATACACTCCCTTCTGTATGTAAATCAATCCCATCATGGGATCAATACACTCCCTTCTGTATGTAAATCAATCCCATCATGGGATCAATACACTCCCTTCTGGATGTAAATCAATCCCATCATGGGATCAATACACTCCCTTCTGATGTAAATCAATCCCATCATGGGATCAAGACGCTCCCTTCTGTATGTAAATCAATCCCATCATGGGATCAATACGCTCCCTTCTGGATGTAAATCAATCCCATCATGGGATCAATACACTCCCTTCTGTATGTAAATCAATCTCATCATGGGATCAATACACTCCCTTCTGTATGTAAATCAATCTCATCATGGGATCAATACACTCCCTTCTGTATGTAAATCAATCCCATCATGGGATCAATACTCTCCCTTCTGTTTGTAAATCAATCCCATCATGGGATCAATACGCTCCCTTCTGTATGTAAATCAATCCCATCATGGGATCAATACACTCCCTTCTGATGTAAATCAATCCCATGATGGGATCAATACTCCCTTCTGTATGTAAATCAATCTCATCATGGGATCAATACACTCCTTCTGATGTAAATAAATCACCTATGGGATCAAAACAATTCCTTCAGGGATCAAATAGAGAATTTGTCTTTGGAAATGATAAAATCGTCACAGTAAATATCAACAGGAGTGTTACCTGTGTATGTTGTGTGCATGTGTGTGGCAAATCACATTCATTGCATATTAATCAATAAATTTTAGTTCTGTTAAAACAACTTTCGTTACAAATATTGTTGGGAGTGCATCAACAATTGATGGTATTGGTACTGTTTTTGTGGTGGTTGGCGTGTCAGTGGGATCAATTATCTCGTTACAACTTCAGTGATAGGATGTTTTTGAAATATTGATTTGAAAATAATTGGATATGGATTGGAATAGAGGTGAGGTGAGGTGAAATTGGCTTTACGTCGTACTTGAGAATATTTCGCTCATATGACGACGCGATTGGAATAGAGGACAGAGGAAATATATAGCCCCTTATCCACACAAAATAACACTTTGTGCAGGGCCATTAGAATTTTTGTGAATGTAATATAAGAAACTTCAATTAAGAAATGAGTGACGTTGTCTTATCAAATGTAAATAGGTAGTTCCTCAATGGGAAGAGGAGAAAAACTGAATGTCTTGTATGGTATCTGTTGCGGTATCCAGTAGAGGCTGGGCTATCAAAAGAAACATAACTATGACTGGATAGGGCAACCTAAAATACTGATGAAAAGCAATATGGTAAGTACAAGAAATGATACATGCCATGTTTTAAGTATACAGAGCAATATTGTGTGTGGGTATTGCTTATGTTGGGAAATGCTTCTGTGGAGTTGTATTCACAAGCATCAAAGTAGTTACTAAATTTGTTTACCCTGTGGCGGCGGTCTGTAAATAATCGAATCTGACCAGACAATCCAGTGATCAACATCGTGAGCATCGCGATCTACGCAACTGGGATACGATGACTTGTCAACAAGTCCTGACCACCATATTCCGTTAGTCGCCTCTTACGACATGCATTGGTTATTGAAGATCAATTCTAATCGGATCTTCACGGGTTATTATACATGAAATCAATAAGTACATGGATTAGATAAGGATACAAAAGGCTTAAATGCCAGTCCTTTCAAAGTTTTTTTATAATTTCTTTCAGTAATACATATCTTTCAACGCTTATTTGATAACACATAATATCTGTTTGAGCTTTCAAAGTAACTTTTGTACTTATAAAAGAAGTATTAAAATGTATAACCAATATGAAGATGCTGAAAGGTAATTCTTTTTGCCAAGACATAATGCATCAAGTATGTCCTATTCTAGTTGTGTGTTTTCATCCTTGAAAATGGATATGTGCGTGCGTGCGTGCGTGCGTGTGTGCGTGTGTATGATCCCGAGGGAACTGATTTGATCCTAGGATGGAATCACTCTGGAATATGTTTTCCCCTTGATGTGACCTTTTCTTCTACACCGGTCTATCACCTACTTAGGCAAAGGTAAAAGCCAAGGGTTTCTGCACCGACTGGCTACATTTTGTGCAAGCATTAATTCCTCCAACGCAACTCAGGTCCTAGCCGTCAAATGTTATCGCCTCTTACCCAAGCAATAGCAACATGGGGACACATTTAAATTCTGAACCGATTCTCCACGTGACTTTTTGGTTGATTGTATCTTATCAGAGCTGCACTGGCGCTACTCTTTATGTAAAGAGACTGATTCATCGAGTTCAGATTCGCTTACATAGTGAAACCGTAGCCAAGCTTAATCAGTACACTCATAAAAGGTCTTAACCAACACATAAAACAAGTATAATATACATACGTTCAAAGTACATAAATCCAGCATTAGTTACTAGTCCGCCATCGGATTGTGTGAAGTACTTGGAGTGTAGACGACATGTTCCTGAAGTCTTGTCATAGAACACGGACTTGCATCCACTTGTCCTCACGCATTTCACAGCACACTCGGCCTCGTAGTTGGAATGTTTCACTCCCAATCATGTCTAATTCCGAGGTCTTGTCTGTCAAACTTTCATCTCTCTCACAAACCGTATGCTTGGACAAGCCTTGAAGCAGTGGAATAACGCAGGCAATAAGAGCAGCACTATGCCAGATGCCATGATGCTTCAACAACTGCTGCTGTTTCAGTGTTTCTGATGCTGTTGGTGAACAGTTTGGTCTTTGATGACATGGGACGACTTCATGGGACATTCACTGTCAACACTGTCCAATCATCTTCCGTCGAGTCAGATGTTGTGCCATACGCTATATTGATTATTTTGCCGTATTGTTGTTAATCATCTCAGCCGTAATATACAAGCCATACATGATTTTTGTCAATATAGAAGAAAGCATTGATATACTTCCTGAAGCCGTGTGGGATGTATTGGCTAAGTTGTATCACACGCAGGAAACCAAGGTAACTCTGTCGTCTGTCATGACAATATGTGTATATTTCGCGAGGGGTAACCTTTTCTGGATAAATCATTTAATTTTTAAGTCATGTTGCTTAATGCACGACCTAAATCATATAAAGACAGTCTTATCTCTATAAAGCATGAATATATTCAGGACACTGTGCCCCTGCTTCACTGTCGGCAAGGGTGGCTTAGACAACTCCCTTCTTGTTGTGTCCTTTGTGTCCATTACCATCGTCCAACAATCTTGGGTGGGCAATCGAGTCGCCCATCTTCGCCTTCAGTTAGTCACCACTATACCTCTGCTCGTGGGTTTACCTTCGGTTGAAAGTGCTCCTTGGTATAACTCACTTTATGGCGTATCATTCACACATGGTTCCCTCTGATCACACGGAACAGAAATTGCTGCAGTTAGTATTGCCTTATTTCAGTCCTCAGCGTCACTTCGTCCGCCCGGAAAGCGGAAGGTCGCGGGTTCGATCCCCGACCGCGTCATACCAAAGACGTTAAAATATGGTACTTGTTGGTCCTGCCTGGCGCTCGGCATTAATGGGTACAACAAGGACTGGTCGGCTCAGAGTCAGTATAATGTGTCTGAGTGGGGTATTCATGCTTCACTGCGGCATGGTATCTCAGTGGGCTAGCACTATAAAACCAGCTTCAGTCTGGGCTGAGTACAAGCAGCCGCACGTACACATACACACGCATGCCCGTCGTCATATGAGCAGAAATATTCTCAGCACGACGTTAAACCCAATTTCACCTCACCTCCTCACCTCACCTCAGCGTCACTTCTCCCGAGTTACTTAACACATGCTTCATGTCCATGGTTCTCTGACGCTTCGGCACTCTGTTAGTTCTCTCACTACTGACAATCAGCACTGACCATAGCATTTATATCAATGTATTGTAAGTAACAACATCGTCTTTCCAATAATACACTTACTGACAAAACCAAAGCTATTTTTGTTCGGAAAAGTGTTTGCGTTCTGAGAACATTTCCTGCCGTGGTATTGTCATGGAATGGATAGTAATAATAATTAGTATTTATTACCAAGACTAAATGCCAGACTAAAGACACTTCGTATCTGCCACACCTCCAGATCTGATCCATGTTAACCTATGTAAACTTTATAAATATTGCCATGAAGAAATACACTTCCTTATAGAATAAAACACAGAGTACACATCACCAATAATGTGCATTCAATCCTTATGCGTTTGTAGATGTTACATGGACTAGTATTGGTTATAACTCTTTACAGTTTCTACATCTCTAAATGCCCTAATTCCCATTATACATAGTAAACTTCCGATTAGTAATGTTTGTTGTATCAGTGAAGTCTTCATCAGGTAAATAGATAAATCAAATATACTTGAAGCACTGAATTTTTTAAAGACAGCGTTTAATGATTAAGCAGATTTGCTATAGTCAAGGCCTTTATGTCGATGAAATCAGTGACAGGTCTCGCGAAATGAATCGAAGTGAAGTGAACGAATCAGGGTATCTTCGTTCTTGTCTATTGTATTTTCATGCATAGCTTAAAAGTTGGAAGATATGTAGTGTGGCTGTCTGCTCAGGAGAGCTATCATTTTACTTTGTGTCTTGTTTACACATCAAACATCAACATATCAGTTACTTCATAGTGAGAGGTCACATCACGGTGTTTGACTAGCGATCACTTCGCCTACGTTATAATAACTCGTAATTGTCAACACAGTATTCATGGATGAGTACACATCATCATCAGAATTTGAAAACCATTCATATAGATACAACCAAACAGAAGTGTCAAATTGTGTTTACACTAAGCGATAAACTGAGCGAAAGCATTAACGCTTAAAGTAAACTGACCAGTGTGAGATACGTATAACAGGCGAATATTCACATGATAGTAGACAGAAACCGATATACATTCCTAAATGTTTTCCATGATATCAATAAAACATTCAACAAATACATATTGAGATACGTATAACAGGCGAATATTTTACATGATAGCAATTTAGACAGAAACCGATATATATTCCTAAATGTTTTCATGATATCAATAAAGCATTCAACAAATATATATTGAGATACGTATAACAGGCGAATATTCACATGATAGTAGACGAAACCGATATATATTCCTAAATGTTTTCATGATATCAATCAAAACATTCAACAAATATATATTGATACGTATAACAGGCGAATATTCACATGATAGCAATTTTAGACAGAAACCGATATATATTCCTAAATGTTTTCATGATATCAATAAAGCATTCAACAAATATATATTGAGATACGTATAACAGGCGAATATTCATGATAGTAGACAGAAACCGATATATATTCCTAAATGTTTTCATGATATCAATAAAGCATTCAACAAATATATATTGAGATACATTATAACAGGCGAATATTCACATGATAGTAGACAGAAACCGATATACATTCCTAAATGTTTTCATGATATCAATAAAGCATTCAACAAACATATATTGAGATACGTATAATAGGCGAATATTCACATGATAGTAGACAGAAACCGATATACATTCCTAAATGTTTTCATGATATCAATAAAACATTCAACAAATATATATTGAGATACGTATAACAGGCGAATATACACATGATAGCAATTTAGACAGAAACCGATATATATTCCTAAATGTTTTCCATGATATCAATAAAGCATTCAACAAATATATATTGAGATACGTATAACAGGCGAATATTCACATGATAGTAGACAGAAACCGATATATATTCCTAAATGTTTCATGATATCAATATAGCATTCAACAAACATATATTGAGATACGTATAATAGGCGAATATTCACATGATAGTAGACAGAAACCGATATATATTCCTAAATGTTTTCATAATATCAATATAGCATTCAACAAATATATATTGAGATACGTATAACAGGCAAATATTCATGATAGTAATTTAGACAGAAACCGATATATATTCCTAAATGTTTTTTCATGATATTAATAAAGCATTCAACAAATATATATTGAGATACGTATAACAGGCGAATATTCACATGATAGTAGACAGAAACCGATATATATTCCCTAAATGTTTTTCATGATATCAATAAAGCATTCAACAAACATATATTGAGATACGTATAATAGGCGAATATTCACATGATAGCAATTTAGACAGAAACCGATATATATTCCTAAATGTTTTTCATGATATCAATAAAGCATTCAACAAATATATATTGAGATACGTATAACAGGCGAATATTCACATATTCGTAGACAGAAACCGATATATATTCCTAAATGTTTTCATGATATCAATAAAGCATTCAACAAACATATATTGAGATACGTATAATAGGCGAGATACTATAATAGGCGCACGCACGCACGCACACGCACACACAGGCACACACACGCACGCACGCACAGCAAAAATAACTTAGTTTCCGTTCTTGCGGAAACCTAATGAATACTGGGTAATGTAGGTTTCCGCTCGGTTTCAGTATCCGGGGAAACGAGACAATGCGAGTTTCCGCATAGTTTACAAAACTGAAACCTTAACAAATGTAGGTTTCCGTCAAGTTTCTACAACTGAAATTATCATTATACGTTTCCATTTAGTTTCAGTTCGCTGAAACATTCATAGCAAAATGACTTAGTTTCCGTTATTGCGGAAACCTATTGAATACTGGGTAATGTAGGTTTCCGCTAAGGTTTCTGTTGGTTTCAGCTTAGATGAAATGGCTAAACTTAGCTTTGTGCTGTTCCATTGGGGGACAATATTTACTTACTGTTACATTTGCAAGATAATTTTTATATACAGATTCCAGCTAGAGGTCCATGCAGGGAAGCAAAGTACTGTACGTTCCGTAGTCCCTAGTATGTTGATCAGCCTTCAGGTGTTTGCAATAACTATAGCCCATTTTTTATACTGTACCGTTAAAGTGTTTATGGTTACATGCCAGATTTTAGTGTACGTTTGTGATAGACTAGTTATTTGTCCTTCGAAGACAGGTAATTATATAAGTTTGTTTTATTTCATGCACACATTTACAAAGTTAGATTTACGACTTTCATAGTCACGATATGGCTGCCGATGTGACTTTGTAACTCACTACATTTCTTGTGAATGTACCATTTATTACATTGTACACGAAAAACAACAAACACAGTAACACAGTCACTGATATGATTCATCTGTTTCATTATTTTGAATATAAGCTCACATTTCAACAGAACCCAACAATGTATGTATGTATGGTTTAATATGTGTGTGTGTGTGTGTGTGTGTGTGTGTGTGTGTGTGTGTGTGTGTGTGTGTGTGTGTATGTATGTATGTATGTATGTATGTATGTATGTATGTATGTATGTATATATGTATGTATGTATGTATGTATGTATGTATGTATGTATGTATGTATGTATGTATGTATGTACGTGTGTATGTATGTGAGAAGCCACATCAAGAGGGAATCTTCAGCATTGGAGAACACAACTTCTGTATGAATATGCAAATACAAATATGTCAAAACCCTACAACAT